CACATAGGAGCACTCAGATTCCCTGGGGCACCTGCTGTTTAGAGAGTGTGCTGCTGGCATCTGATTGGGTCTGTCATCCTTATAGCTCTGGATCAGTAGCTTGGGAGTACATCTGTGGTCATAGTACCCCAAACATTTGGAAAGGTGCATGTGTTACCTTTCATGACAAAAGGGACTTTGCACATGTGATTTAATAAAGGATCTTGCAGTGGGGAGATTATCCTGGACTGTCTGGCTGGACCTGTTGTATAGGGTCCTTCTAAGAGGGAGACAGGAGGGTCAAAGTCAGAAAAAGATGTACCTGTGGAACTAGAAGTTGGAGTGATGCCCTTTGAAGATGGAGGAGGGGGCCATGGGCCAAGGAATGCCGGCAGCCACTAAAAACTGCACAAGATAAGAAAATGGTCCTTCAGAAGGAAAGCAGGCCTGCAATACCTTGATTTCAGACTTACGACCTCCAGAACCAGAAGAGAATAAGTTTGTGTTGTGTTGAGCCACTGAGTTTGTGGTCATTAGTTATAGCAGCGATCAGACACTAATCCAAGTTCTAAATCTCTGTCCCCAAGCCTCCACCTGCTTGACTGCCAGGCCTCTGTCTGCTCTCCAAGGTTCTCCCCAGTCACTCATGAGAATTCTTGGACATCTCGTGAGTGCACGAGTATAGATCAGTCGCCCGTGTTGCCCCTTTCTGGACTCCTCTTGGAAGCCCATTGCCTGCATGGTGTAGAAAGAGACCCCCACCACGGATGGTGCTGTGGGAGCCCTTCCCAGTGTCACAGTACCCCTCCCCTTTCGTGGGGTGTGCCAGATGCAGGTGCTGCTGGCCTCCCCCACCCTTCCGCATCGCTGGGGGTTCCTCTCTTACACTCTGTCACTTGGACTCCAAGGCCACACTGCTCATTCTTCCAGCCTCACTAGAACATTCCTGAGCAGGGCTCCATCCTGCTGTTCCCTTCTGGCCTGACCCATCCCTCCTTTGTGGGTAGGCTGGGTGGGGTGGGCAGTCATCATTTTCTTTCTTCTGTCTTTTTTTTTTTTCAATTTTCTTGTTTATCTCTCTGAGCCTTGCACCCAAACACATACCTTTCTGTCTAGTCTACAGGCCAGAGGATGCGTATCAAGCCACAGAGACCGACATTAGGGGGCAGGGGGTGGTGTTATGCTAACTGAACCCAACTCTGGCCCCCCTGAGGCACAAAGTGTCTTAGTGAAGGTCCAGGATGTTTCTTTTCCTTCTCAAGGATTTATTCTTGGAGTCCATTCTTTTCATTGTCATCTTTCTGATTCTTTTTACCAAAGGACACTGCTCTTAATGACGTTCCTATCTGGAGCATCTTGAAGCCTTGCTTAGTAAATATTGTTTCTCATGTTATCTCCTTAAATAAAGGGACTAGGAGGAAGCAGAGGCTCTATGGGGAAGCCAGCATAATAATGATAATGCTAGTTGCAGAAATAAGCTTCAAAATTTCAGTGGCTTAATAACCCAATAGTAGTTTATTCCTTGTTTAATTAAAGTCCAAAATGAGTGTTCCCAGTAGGTGGGTGGCCTTCCTCGTGGTCATGGTCATTCAGGGCACTGGACTCCTTTTGTGGCTTTGTTGTCACTTAGGCTCCTAAAATCCCTTACTTTCAGCTGGTAGATGGGAAAAGGACAATGGAGCAGTGATTCTAGAACCTTAATGTACATCCAAATTACTTGGTGATCTTTTTGTTTTTTGGGTTTTTTTTTGGTGCTTATGACACACTGGATATCATGCCTTTTGCCCCAGTAGTGATCTTAATAAAATGCAAATTCAGATTCAGTAGACCTGAGTGGGGCCCCCAGAGTCTGCATTTCTTAGCAGCTCCCAGGTGATGCTGAGATTGCCAGTCCGAGAATCATCCTTTGAAGAATGATATAAAGGAGGATGGAACAATGAGGGTCAGGGGTGGTAGTAGGGGTGGTCAGCTTTCAAGCACCAGGCTTGGAAGAGTGGCACACTTCATACGCAGGTCCCGTTGGCTGGAGCCCAGACACATGGTCCCATCAAACTGTGAAAGGAGGCTGGGGAACATGGTCCAGCCATGTGCCCAGAACAAAGAGGACACGTTTGCTAATCGACCAGCAGTTTCTGCTGCGTGGAGACTTGATGGAGGACCAAGCACCTTCACCAGCTCCTACCTTCAGGGAAATGGTATCATCTCTATTAATAGTCATGGGGACAGCAAGATGGAAGGGATTCCTAGACTTGCTGGGTGGATGGACGTTAAATGGCTCCACCTCCTCAGTGAGCCTGCTTCACCAGCAGAGCTGGGATGCAAAGCGGTGGAAACCTGAGCTGGTGTAAGAGAAATTTTCTCTACTTTCTGCTGTGGACAGAAGAAGCCTGGTGTGAACTGGCAGGAGGCTAGAAGCTTAAATGTCCATGGGGCATCCTAGGGCTCTGAGTGGAGAAAGCCAGACACTGCCTGCTTCACAGGCTGCCTTCCCTACCTGTAGATGTGCTCCCCTTCTGTGGCCAGGGGCTTATGGGTCTTGTGGGTCATCACTCCTCTGTCCCAAGGAGACCTTCTGGAAGCCTGTGGGATGTAGGTCAGCAAACAGATACGGACATGGATGCTGACTTCTCTCAGCACCTCATTTTCCCCCCTGCAGTGGTTCCTTCCTTGCTGCCTTAGTGGGAGGTTATGATGACTGGAGATAACACCTGACAAGGGACAGCTCTCCATGTGCCCTGTGTTACTGCCTGGCCATAAACTAGGAAGCTTTATCCTCTTGGAAACACAAGGAAGATACAACTTTTGCTTCACCTGCAGTGGCTCCTACCCCAGGGGGTGGGTGAGTTTTCTGATTGGTGGGATGTCCAAAGTCTGATTCATGTTTCTGTCTTTATCACCTTGCTTCTTGCTGGCTCAGTCTGGGGATAAGCCCTAGAAATCTGGGTGGAGTCAGAAGGAAAGAGTCCTTGATCATCTAGCTGCTGTGCATGCTGGGTCAGGGAAGAAAACAAGCCTCAAGTTCAAGTTACTTTCTCTAATCCAGCTTTGTAAACAGTAAAGTTGAGATTTTGAACACAAACACACTCTCTCTCCTGTGTCTATTTTTAAATTTGTTCTGAACCAAAAAGAGACAAGCTACGAATGACTGGTACCCTCTAGAACCCCAACATGATATGAATTGCCCAGCACGTAGTATCTGGCAGCTGTTAGTCTTTTTGGTATTAGGGTGAAAGAATGAGGCTAGTTACAGCTATTGAAGAGGCTCATCTTGGTTGAGGATAAGGAGTCTTAAGGTTTCATTCTGATTGAAGATTTTAGTGGCTAAAATAAGATTTCAAAGCAACAGTGGTTTTCTAGGTGTGAATATTCATTCCAGAATCACTTGAGTGTTTTATGATGCAGTTTATTTCGTAGCATCATAAGACTCTTTAAGTCACAGAGTTCAGCCTTCACAGTTGATTGTGAAATTTCCTTAGTCATCTCCTCAATTTGTCCAGGCTCTGTTTAACCACCTGCAGTGATGGGGAACGCACTGTGTCTCTCCAGCAGTCCATCCCATTTTGTATCCTTTCTACTTGTTAAGAGGTCCTTTGAACTGAAATGTGCCTCCTGGTGGTTTCTTGCCTAAGTCGGCTCTCTCAGGCAACATTCATCAATTAGCTATTGCCACAGTAATGGTGCTTAACAAACCAAGAGGGAACTCCGTGCCAAGCAGCAGTGAGCATTTATCCTCCCACTCCTGGGTCTGAGCATCCAGAGTGGACTGGCTGATCCAGGTTGGGCTTGTTGGCCATGTGGCTGTGTTTCCGCCTGCCTGGGTAGCATGGCTTGTTTCTTCACTGTCCACTGAGCTTAGTTCTCTTCCACATGCATCTGTTTTTCATCCCAGGCTGAAAGGGCAGTGGCTACTGGGGGCACATTCTTCTCATGGAAGGTGCCAGCAGTGCCAGAGGGCAAGCCCAACAAGGCAAGCACGTTTCAAGCCTCATTCTGTTGGCATCCTTTTGACCAAAGCAAATGGTGCCCAAAGTCGTGGGATGGGGACACATCCTGTGCCTCTTTTGGGAGGGACTGCCTAGACAAAAAGCTAAGGGCATATATCCTAGGAGGGGTGAAGAACTAGAAGCAACCATTTAATCGGACAAAGTAACTCCAAAGAGGCTCACCTCCTTTCTAGGAGATAGGCTTTTCTAATGCTTGCAAATAACAGTCATGTTGTTTGCAAATAGTAAAAATAGCATAAATTTTGAGGTTGGAGATCATCTGGGTGTCATCCCTCCCTGTCTGAGTGGCCCAGAGTGAGTCACTCAGTCTTTAAATAAAATGATAACCCTCCATCTCCCAGAGTCATTTTGAAGATTCAATTGAATACTTCATAAATAAGATACTCAGCGTCATACTGGTACTCCTTACATGCTTAGCAAGTATGACTTACCCTCCATTTCAGGCTGAACATCTTTCAGTTGGTTCTCTCATTTCTTGAAGGCTTTCTTTGCTGACTTGAATATGCTGTACTTTTCATATGCCTTCCTCTGATAGATTCCTGATACTAATGCAGGGCTCCAGGTGGAATATGTTAGAACAGCACGTGAGTGTTGTAGAGTTCCTGCTTCCACTGAGACAACCCAAGCTTGAATGAAGTTATATTTCACCTCATTTCACCCATGGAGGTTGCAGTTAACTAAATTCCTGGGTTTTTATTCCATGCTTCCTGTAGGAGCTACTGGTTTTAATGTTTTTTTTTCTGTAAATGTTTGTGGAATGTTTACTTTGTAGAAATGCTCCATACATGTTTCTGTCTCTTAATTCTTAAAACTGCCTTGGTGAGTAGGATTTTTTATTCCTAGCTACAGAACAGGATACTCAAGTTGAGAGAGGAAATGTGGCTTCCTCAGGATCAACCAGGCCCTCCTAGAGAGACTTGATTTCCGGCCACTGTGTTTCTGTGTATGACTGATTTTCAGAAGAATGTTCTTTCTCTCTCCTTGTCTCTGCGTCCCGCCCCCTTTGTGGGTCTCCAGGATCCTTTATGATGGTGAACAGCTCCGGGAGGGCCTCTGGCCAGAAGGCTCACCTTCTCCTGCCGACTCTGAAGGAGAATGACACCCACTGCATCGATTTCCACTACTACTTCTCTAGCCGCGACAGGTCCAGCCCGGGGGCCTTGAACGTCTATGTGAAGGTGAATGGCGGGCCCCAGGGGAACCCCGTCTGGAACGTGTCTGGAGTTGTCACCGAGGGCTGGGTGAAGGCAGAGCTTGCCATCAGCACCTTCTGGCCACATTTCTACCAGGTATGGCATTTTACCATAGTTATAAATCTATATACCTCTTGCCCTGATAAGAGTTTAGGTCTAGAAAGGACTTCATTTACTTACTCGCTTGTTCAACTTGTGTTTACGGAGCTGATCCTAGCTAGACCTGGCGGATGCAGAGGTGAGCCAATACAGGAGACTGACTGATATATAGATAAACACTTACAGTATAGGGGGATGCATGTGGATTTGACAAGATGCTGGAGGAACGTAGACATTGAAATTATAAAATAATTATAAGAATTATAAAATACAAATTATATAAAATTCTAAAATAATTTCTTACAACAATTGGATTAGGGAGATACTATTAATATGCCTGTTTTATAGATGAAAAAACTGAGGTTCAGAGAGATGAGATAACTAGTTAGATATTGCGCCTGAGGAAGACGGTGTTTGAGGGTGAGACAATTAGGATGGTTTCTAAGAGGAGATGACAGGTGAGTCTTAAAGGATGAATAAATAGTTACTGAAAATGGCAGGGAAAGGCATTTGAGTTGAAAAGGTAGTGCATGCCATGGACTGGAGAAGTGAGTGAGAGATTTTGGCAGAGTCTGGAAACTCTAGGTTGTTTCCAGGTAGGTTGAAAAGGAGATATGGTGGGAGCTAAGCCTACAGGGATGAGTAGGTCATGGGGATGAGGAGATTAAATTTATTCTCTAGTCCAGAGTGGTGCTACTCAAACTATCTGTGATGAAAGACAAGCTTTTTCTCAACTGATTATGAACCAGTACTTTTACAAACCGCAGTAAAAATGCCACAGCAACACCAAATTGCTCTGACAGTTTCTAAATGCCTTTTATCTCGTTGTGGACTGATAGCACAAACACTGTATAGGATGCCACCAGCCCACAGAGCACGCTTAGAGGGACAGCTCCATGTCATCTTGGCCTGGGACTATTGAAAGTTTTTCTTTTCCTTTTTTAAACTCAAATTACAATTTATATATCGTAGAACCCCCTTGTTTTAAGTATGCAATCCAGTGATTTTTAGTAAATCTATTGAGTGGCACAACCATTGCCATAAGCCAGCTTTAGAACATTTTTATCACCCCAGTAGGATCCCTTGTGCCTATTTGCAGTTAAACCCCATTCCCGCTGTTGAAAGGCTTTGAGTGAGAAAGTGACATAGTCAGATCTGCATTGTGGAGAAGTTTCTCTGGGGTCTGAAGCAGGAGATGAACCTGAGGGTGGCAAAGTGAGGGGTCAGGAGATTCTTAGGTATCCTTCACTTCAGCATCCATGGTATATAGTTCTTTCAGATGTGCTGTGAAAGCAGCTGTAGACAACATATGAATGAATGGACATGGCTGTGTTCCAGTTAAAACTTAATGGTACAAAATCAGGTGATGGACCAGATTTGGCCTCTGGGCCATAGTTTGCTGAACTCTGATGTAGGTAATAAAGCTGAGGTCCAGAAATGGACAGTGAAGTTCAAAAGCACACAGCAAATCATTGGCAAAGCTGGGGCCAGAGCCCTGATGCCCTGGTCCTAAAATTCCCCCTCTGTTTCACTCGTATAAACGTCAAGTGTCTCTATAAGCCCATGGGTCCCCTCAGGGAGGCCTTAGGTTTCCATTTGGAAACTCCCTACCTAGAGTCTGGTGCAAATGGGGCCAGAGGTGCAAGTATGAAGAACAAGAGAAGTGGCCCAGGAGAGGGACAGACCTACTGATGGCCACGCTCTTTGACGGGGTGTGGAGGGAAGAGAGGGCATTTCCTAGGCACCTCCTCTGCCCCAGCTCTGTGGTAAGCATGTTGCCTCTCATTTATCTGGTAGTAGCTCCTGTGTTGTGCAGCAGCATGTCCTGGATAGGGGATATTATTGGTAAGTTGAGGTCCCATAATCCCACCTGGGTCCTCTGACTCCAGTTTCTTGCTTTTAGAGAAAAAAATCATGCCCATTCTGAGACTGTTCTGCTCACTAGCTGTGTAATGTTGGATTCTATTCCACCACCATCCTGAATCACAGCTCTCTGGTTTGTAAAGTGGAGAGATCAGTGGGTACGATGAAGCGTTGGTCTGTGGGTTAAATGAGATAGGATCATATCAGGTAGCACACACCAGGCTTGCCAGGGCCTCGGCAATTGTTGGAAGGGTGGGAGGAGGAAGAGAGGGAAGAACAGACGAAGAGGATGGAGGAAGAAGGCCTTCTTTAAAGAAACACTGCTGTGATTGTGTTCTGAGCAGGCCCCGTGATAGTAGCCTCATCTGGGACAATGTTCTGATCCCCAGCTTGTTGGCCATGACGGTGTCATTACATACATTATGTTTCCTCTGCTCTGAGCTTTGTGGTGAAAAATCCACTAATGTGCTGAAAGCAACAGTTGAGAAGAGACACACACACAGCCGCTAATGGATAGTCCCATGGCCGCAAACACAGTGAAACACCCTCAGGTGCACACACACCAGCCTGCTGCTTCCAGACTCACCGCACACACAGGGACAGCCACCTACATCTACATCTGGGGAGAGAAAACAGGGCATATCAGGAGGGTCAAAGATACTTGCAAAATGCTTTTGAAAATTCATCAGCCCCCAAGCTCTGGTTTTGCACATCTGATTCGATAGACTCAATACCATTTTGGTTTTCAGCAGTGCTGGGCTTCAGACCCTGATGGCTTATGTATTCATTTATTAAAATCATATTTCACAGTGGCCCTGTAATAAACAGAGAAATTTCATCTTTCTTATCAGTGGGCTTTCTAGCAGCAGACCTTCAGCAGGGCCACCCCACCCCCACGCCTGCCTCCTCTCGGGAGGACAGGGCTCATCCAGTGTGACTGCAATCATGATTCAGATGGCTGCCTCCTTCCAGGTGACAGTAATTCTATTTCACGTTTCTAATGATTCTGAACTTTTCTGTCCTAATATTAAAAAAAAAGAACTTTAATTAATTTTGCAGCCACTTGCTTTCTGTTCTCCATCACCTGCCTTGGTGAAATTACCTTTTATTCAGCACTTCTAAGTGCTATGGAGAACCCTGAAATTTCAGACTCCCCTGACTTGAACTCAGCTGGACTCGAAGCCCAGTCTTTCTCAGGAATTCCTCTGGCATCTGGTGCTCTGTGGATTTGGTAACTTCATGCACCATCCAGGAGGGTGCCTCACAGGGAGGAGCTCCCTCTACCTCCCTTCTCTCTTACCCACCCACACCTTCCTCGCTCAGCAGCAAACCCCTCTCCTTGTCTTACACAGGCCTCCTTGGGCTGGTGTGGGAAAGGGAAAAGAGTGTCTGTTAATTTCACTTTAGGAAGTCTTCCCCCATGATAATGTATATGGTCTTCCTCCGAAGAGGAGTTCTGGAGAGCCAACATTTTTCTATCTCTTATCTTCTGAAAAAATGTTTGCAGCCCCTTGAAGTTTGTGCTGTATACATTTCTCTGCTTGAGGACTACAAAAGTGGGCATAAAATGCCAGGTGTCTTACACCATGTCCTGACATACCCACACCCTCCCCAGACAGGTACACAACCTACTTTTTGGAGGGATTATGGGTTACTCATCTCTGAGCCTCCCTTGGGAGACAACTTCCTGGTTTTGCCCAGCAGCTCCCACCCTGGGAGAAGCTGGCACCTTTCTGTGCAAACTTCATCCCCTCAATACCAGGAGGCCTCTAAGGGTGTAGGGGCTGGGGAATGTGTGTTTGATAGTAGGAACACATGGCCACCTTGGGGTTGAAGGATGTCTTGCAGGGAAGTTGGGGTTCTCAGCCCAGGCTTTCTGCTCCAGTCCCTGCACCTCTGTGTCCTCACCTCTGTAGATTGACATGGAGCATCACTGAGAGCCATCTTCTGTGTCCCTTCCACCCCTGCCTCCCTGCCCTCTGTGAACAGACAGCTCTAGAGCAGCCTCCACAATTTTTCACTCATTCTTCTGGCTCTTCCATTCCTGGCTTTCATTCCTCAGGGGCCTTGGTTTGAGTTTCCTTCTGAGCATGCTCAGCTTGAGGATGACCGTTCTCCCTCGCCTTGGAACACCGGGCAGGTCTTTCTATCACAAAGGTCTTGACATCACCCTGTCCCTTTGTGGTGCCTGTACCCAGGAATGGGAGCTGGCTAGTACCAGGTAGTCTTCCTGACCAGGGTCCCCACGCCAGAAGCACATTGATGGAGTGATCATCTCCACCCAAAGCTGCAGATGTCTCCTGGGGCACGTTCTGACCTGAAGAGAGGATGCCAGTGATCCACGTTCCCCAGAATTTTGTCAGCTGGGAACCTGGTCCTAGGGGCTGAGCTGCAGCTCTGGCAGCTGCTTTTCCTGAACCCTAAAAGATGAAGCTCAGTTCTGCTATTCCGTGTCTTTGAGAGGGCTTCCTCCTTTTTCATCAGCAGTGAGAATTCTGGGGTGGGGGGCCCTCACATCTCTCCTGATGTTTGAATGTCTCTGATGTTTGAATGCTGCTTTCCTGTGCGCTGCCCCGTGATAATTTGCATTGCCAGGATCTCATTCAGAACAAGAAAGCATGCAGCATGGATAAGGGAGTGATTTCTAGAGGCTGACCCTGCCAGCTTACTCCCAGTACCCATTGCTTCTCCATGGTTGAGGCCTGCCACCCCATAATCTTTTGGGGGCAGGGTCTAGCCACCATGGGAGATCTCCCTCTCCAGTGCCTGGCGTTGTGCTCCCCGGGGTTGGTGCTTGTCCCTGGAAGCTTGGACGTGTGCCTGCAAGTCAGCCCCATTGCAAGACTGAGTGTTCAGGGGACGTGCGTCAGCAGGCGAGTCCGGTTGGATCCTTGAGCATCCAAGCCCATTCACCATGGGCCTGCCTGCCTTTTCTTTCCTTTCTGGGGAGGAATGGTGGCCTCCCTGGCACAGTTTCTGATATCCCCAGCCTTGTGTCTGTGCTGTAGCTCTTGACTCTTCTGGCATTGTACTGAGGGTTCTATCTCATGGCAGTTTGCATGACTTTTTTTTTTTCTCTTCATCTTAACTCTGGAGTTGCATGCCCAGAACAGGACCCTCTTGACTCCTGTAGG